ACAACCAAAGGGGCAATAAATAAATCTAAATGGGATACTTTTAATGATAAATGTTCATCAACATACTTTTACATGTAGTGTTGAGTTGGTCCTGAACCACAAAAAAATATATTATTTTTTTCTTTGCCACTTATTTCTCCATTGAAGTCACCTTTTGGTCCAGAACTTCTTCATAGAATTTTTCACTTCTAGACGTACAAAACTTGACATATTAAGTAGAAAAATATCAAATTTTACTGAAATTAATAATAAAACAGTCTTTTCCCTATTTGGGAAATATAAGCTTAGATATTATTTCATCATAAATAAAATAAATTCCAAATGGGTTAAAAATTGTTTTTGAAAGGTATTTTCAAAAACCAAGTTGTTAAAATTTATAACATTTTATAAAAATGAAAGGAAATTTTTGTGATTGATGGCATAGAAGAAATTAAAAAGTAAAAGAATATTAAAATTTAACGTGTTTATATAGCATAATATAGCATAAATAAAATAGTAAGGTGGAGGAGGGAGAAACATCTGTAACAAAAATAAATAAAAATTGAAAGAAAAAGAAAATATATCCTAAATTGTGCACAACATAAAATATGTGAGCTTTTAATCCTAAATACATATTAAGTAGTTTTAATATATTGTCAGGTTTGCATTTTGGAAATATCAGGGTTTTCAGTATTTAGAATGGTTTAAAGAGATGCAGAATAGATTTTGGAAAGAAGTTTGGAAGCTAGTGCAGTGCTAGTCAAAGCTGAGAAATGATAGCAAACTGGATTTATGTTATGGCCATGTCAATAAAAGTGCAGATTTAAAAATAACAATAATACAACTATTTGTAGCAAATATCAAAGAATAAATATTTTTAGCAAATATGTATATATTTGATGAGAAAGAGTTCATTAAAATTCAACAGCAAAAATTTTCACTCCGACACATCAAGAATTCAAGAACAAAACTAATTGACGAAGTCTATGGAGAAGCATTTATGTCCCAGACATTGTTCAGGGAACAAAGAGAATAAAGCCAACTAAATAAATTTACCTGACATCAGGGAGCATATCGAAAAATGAACATAGACAATTAAACAAGATTTTTATCTCATCACTTTAAATAACTATACACATTGGAAAATTAACTAAATGTCTGTCTTAGTCCATTTGGGCTGCTATGATAGAATACTAATGACTAGGTGGCAGAAAAAATACATTTATGTCTCCCAGGCCTAGAAGCTGTAAAGACCAACATCAGGCTGCTGGCAGGTTCACTGTCTGGTGACAGCCTGTGTCCCAGTTCACAGACAGCCATCTGTTCACTGTCCTCAGCGGGCATGAGGGGCAAGTATGTTCTCTGGGGTCCCTTTTATAAGGACACTAATTTCATTCATGAGGATTCCAACTTCATGACCTAATCACCTCCCAAATGCCCCACCTCTAAATGCCAACATATTATAAATAATTTAAGTCATGAATTTGGGGAGGATACATACATTCAATATATAGCTATATGCAAAGTCAAGAATTCTTTATATAAATTCTGATATAATTAAATGCTTGATATTATTTGGTGAATAGTGTTATGTTCGGGAAGACTTTAAGATGATATAAGAAACATCCATATAATAAGAGGAAAAAAACTCAGGATAAAGCCTGACCAGCATGGCACAATGGTTGAGCATTGACTCATGCACTGAGAGGTCACAGGTTTGATTCCCGGTCAGGGCACATGCCCAGGTTGTGGGCCCAATCCCCAGTGGGGGCATGCAGGAGGCGGCCAATCGATGGTCTCTCTCATTGATGTTTCCATCTCTATCTCCCTCTCCCTTCCTCTCTCTCTCTCTTACATCATAAAGACAAAACAAAAAACAAAAACCTGAGGATATAATGTTTTCATACAATGTGATTTACCCCTCAGACAGACCCATTGCTCCCTAGCCTTAGCCCCTTATGAATCCAGACTAAATACAGAGGCAAAATTATCAGTTTCTTTTATCCCATGCTTCCTACTATCATAACCACAAACAATATTTTATTTCAAGCCTGATTCATAGGGAAGATGTTATGAATGAGGACTGTAAAGTAAAACAATATGTTCTGGCTTCTTTATTATGTAATAATCTGCAGTCCATTAATAAAAGAGGTAAGAATGACATATATTGTCAGCATCTTTCTTAACAATGATATAACCCAAAATATCTGGTCAAGGATTAAAAATATATATATATATATATATATATATATATATATATATATATATATATGGCAGAGCCTGGGTCCCGACAAAAGGCTATGAAACACTATAAGCAAAAAAGGAGATGGGAGACTGAAAAAATAGCAGCGGAGTTATGAAATACCCTAAATTACCTAGGAATTTTCATGGATCACCTTCGCAAAAAATATACCACCAACAAAATTAATCCAGATGAAGACATGATATAATTTCCCAATCAGAAAATTACATAAGATTTAGTTATTTTTCTGCATCTCTGCCATGTTCAATCAGATAATTTTTATACACTTAGATTAATATTAGAACTCTGAAACATGATTAATATTAGAACTCTGAAACATCATTCTCCTTCAAACTTCACATGCTAAGCCATTTGAAAAATTATATATTTAAAGTATTTTGCAGATACAAAAATAAGATATATACTTCAAATATTTTTATTAATTAATTTATTTATTTAAACTTATCTTTATTGTTGAATGTATTACAGATGTCCCTCCTTTTTCCCCTATTGACCCCCTCCTCCCTGCTCCCGCTCCCCTCCTGCCTTCCCCACACTATTGTCCGTGTCCATTGGTTATGCATATATGCATATAAGTTCTTTGGTTTATCTCTTTCTAGCCTTCCCTTCCCTCTTCCCTTTGAGGTTTGTCAGTCTAACAACCAATTTGTACTTAATCCCTTCACCTTTTTCACACATTCCTCCTAACCCCCTCCCATCTGGCAACCAATTAAAAGTTCTCTGTATCTATGAGTCTGTTTCTGTTCTGCTTGTTCATTTTGTTTGTAGATTCATTTGTTGATAGATATGGATTTATTGCCATTTTGTTGTTCACATTTTTTATCTTCATACTCTTCAAGAAGACCCTTCAACATTTCATATAATACTGGTTTGGTGGTGATGAATTCCTTTAGCTTTTTCTTGTCTGGAAAACTCTTTATATGTCCTTCAATTCTAAAAGCTGGCTTTGTAGGATAGAGTAATCTTGGTTATAGGTTCTTGCCTTTCATCACTTTGAATATTTATTGCCACTCCCTTCCAGCCTTAAATTTCTTTTGAGAAATCTGCTGAGAGTTTTATGGCAATGCCCTTGCAGGTAACTAACTGCTTTTCTCTTACTGCTTTTGAGATTCTCTGTCTTTAACCTTTTTCATTTTGATGGTGATGTGTCTTGGTGTGGGCCTCTTGGGGTTCATCTTGTTTGGGATTCTGTGCTTCTTGGACTTGTATGTCTGTTTTCTTCACCAAATTAGGGAAGTTTTCTGTCATTATTTTTTCCAAACATCAGTTGATACTATTTGGTAAATAGAATTATGTTGGAAGAAACTAAGATGATATAAGAAACATCCATGTAATAAGAAGTCAAATAAAACTCGGGATATAGGGTTTTCATACAGAGCAATTTACCCTTGAGAAGGACCCTAGCCTTAGCCCTTTATGAATCCAGACTAAATTCAGAGGCAGAATCATCAGTTTCTTTGACCACATGCTTTCCACCACCTTAGAGGCAAACAATGGTTTATTCAAGACTGATACATAGAGATGTAATGAATGAGGACTATCAAATAAAACAATATATTCTGGCATCTTTATTACCCAGTAATCTGCATTCCAATACAATAAGAGGGGTAAGAATAGCATATACTATCAGTATCTTTCTTAACAATGATATCACCAAAAATATCTGGTCAAGTCCTGCATTGCATATTTGAAACTCATAGATTATAGATTATTCTAATTTTATACACAGGATGGAACAAATGTAGGTTTACATTTGTGAGTACATGAAACAGTTTATTCTTCTATTATTATTTATTAATTGTTGTACTATTAGCCATATAAACAACTGTAAACTTACTTTTAATACACTATAATATATATATGTATATATATGGCAGAGCCAAGGTCCCTACAGAAGGCTATGTAACATTATAAACAAAACAAAAAAAAAGGAGATGAAAGATTGAAAAACAGCAACAGCTATCAGGAATTCTAAATTATCTGAAAATATTAATAGATCATCTTCACAAAAATGTAAACCAACAAAGTGGATCCACTTGAAGAGATAATATGATTTCCCAATCAGAAAAATATATAAGATTATTTAGTTATTTTTCTGCATATCTGCCTTGCTCATACAGATCATTTTATGTACATAGTTTCCTTATGATTAACATTAATATTAATATAAAAACTCTGAGGCATCATTCTCCTTCAATCTTCACAAGGTAAGAAATAAGAAAAAAAAATTATATATTTGAAATATTTTGCAGATACAAAAATGAGACATATACTTCAGATATTGTATAGGCTATATTTCTGTGGTGAGAAGTGAATGAAGTTTTTATATTTTATTTCTTATTTTATTTTCTGAAATCTGTAAAAAGCAGTATTAACTCAGAAAAGGATTACATAATTTAAGAGAGAAAACATGAGAAAAATGTTCCATTAACTAAAATAATTTTACAGTATGAACTTTAGCAAACTAATCACATAAAACATAAATCCATAGTCTCAACGCACATTTTATACATAAAAACTGAACATATATTTTTCTAATAAATAATAAAAATCTTTAAAATATTTTAAACAAAATATACACATTGGATTATAAACTCTTGTGAATATTGTTTAATCATTTGAAGTATTCACATAAAAAATGTCTTTCATGACCAGTTATTAAACCTGAGGAGACATTTACTACAGTTAAATAATCACACATGGTTTCCTGGAAGGAACAACTCTTCATTAAAAATAGGTGAAACATTTCTCTGCTGCCTCATTTTCTTCTTCTGATCCAGAGTCTTTTCATGGCACTTTTCATCTCTCCATTTCTCAGAGTATAGATTAAGGGGTTCAACATAGGGGTGATAACGGTGTAAAACACAGTCAAGGATTTATCAATGGGTAAGGTAGAAGGAGGCCTCACATACATAAACATACAAGGGACAAAGAAGAGGACCACCACAGTGATGTGGTAGCCACAGGTGGATAAAGCTTTGCGCCTCCCTTCCTGACCGAGAGACTTCAGGGAGTGCAGAATGACCCCATAGGAGATGAGTAACAGCACAAAGATGACCACACAAATGGCTCCATCATTGGCAACCACAATGAGGCCAATAACGTAGGTGTTAGTGCAGGCAATTTTTAATAAAGGGTACATGTCACAGATGAAGTGGTCGATGACATTGGGGCCACAGAAGGGAAGGTTGTAAACAAAGAGAAGTTGAACTACAGCGTGTAAAAAACCTCCAACCCAGGACATCATCAGCAACAGAACACACACTCGCTGATTCATGATTATCAAATAATGCAAGGGTTTACAGATGGCCACATAGCGGTCATAGGCCATGGCCACCAGGAGAAAAATCTCAGCACCACCAAATAGATGTGCTATAAAAAGTTGGCTCATACAAGCTTGGAAGGAAATGGTTTTCTTCTCATAGAGGAAGTCTATAATCATATTTGGTGTAAGTGTAGTAGAATAAACAGCATCCATAAATGATAAGTAGCCAAGAAAGAAGTACATTGGGGCATCCAGGGTTGAACTGACCATAACAGTCACAACAATGAGTAGGTTGCCCACCATTGTCACAATGTAAATGAACAGGAAGATAACAAATAATATTTTCTGACCCAGAAGGCTCTGAGTCAGCCCCAAGAGGACAAACTCGGTCACATTATTCGTTTGTTCCATAGGTCGTTTTGTACATCTTATTTCAGCATTCAGGACAAATTACCTGTAAATATAATATTACTCCTGACTTCCTGAAATCTTAAGATAATTTGTGTATTCATTCAACAAAGAGGCATTATAGTTTTTTATGTTGCAGTAATTTCAGAGATTATAAGAATATGAGGTTGATTAAAACATGGTCCCTTACCCTGGCCGGTTTGGCTTAGTGGTTAGAGCTTTGGCCTGAGGTACAAAGAGTTGTGGGTTCGATTCTACTCAAGGACAGGTAGGTACCTCAGTTGTGGTTTGATTTCCACCCCTGGTCGGTGTCATGCAGGAGGCAACCAGTCTGTCTCTCTCGCATCAATATTTCTCTCTCTCTCACTCTTCCTCCTACCCTCCCTCCCACTATCTGAAAGTCAGTGGGAAAATATCCATGAGTGAAGATTTAAAATATATATATATATATAGTCCCTAACCTTAGCAATCTTACAAACTAGTGAAGAGGGAAGTATTTAGAGGTATCTGTGGACAAGCTAGTGGAAATGCAAGTAATTAGAGGTAAATGGGGGGAAAGGAGACATTATAAAGTAAGTGGGTTGTCACAAGTAGCTTTCCATCTGGAAGCTGATAGAAGTGTGCATATGGCTAATAACTTGTGCAAAAAGAAAAACTGACTTAAGGTTTAGAGAAAAACTAAAGCAAGATTTACTTTATGTTTACTTTCTAGTTAATAGAAGACATGACTTTCTACAGTCTAGAGATGGGAGAATCTTCTTAACTTATCAATGACATCCCAAATACACAGTCTTCAACTATTTTTAAGGATTGTGGAATAGATACCATAAAGTCAATAGACAAAAGTAGTTGGAGAAAAACATTTACATTTTAGGGGACATGCATAGAGTTAATACCTACAATACACAAAGTTCTAAGTAATTAACAAAAAAAGACAGACAAACCAATAGCAAAGTGAATAAATGACATAAACAGGCAAACAAAGGAAAAATAAATCAAAATCACCAAAAAAACATCTGAGATGCTGAAACTCACCTGTAAACTGAAAAGCAGCAATTAAAGAGCTTTCTTACTACACAATTACCTTGGATTTTTAAAAGCCTCTCAATCAAGTTCTACAGATGCTACAGCATCCTAAAGAACATATTAATTCAACCTATCACAAAATTTAGAAATATTTGCCTATTAAAATAACCCCAAATAGTTATACTTCAAATTAATGGATACTGAAGTACATGATATTCTAACCACTATGCTGTACATCTGAAACTAATATAGAATAATATTGAATGAAAACTGTAATTGAAATATAAAAAATTAATATTAAGAAAAAAATACTGATGTTAAAAAGGCAAATCTATTTTTGATGCTTATAACATGAAAATATTCAAAAGAGTATTACAGAATTTAATTAATCCCCACATATTTACTAATCAAAAGAACATAGCTGAGTATGAGAATTACATAGAACTTATTTTATAATTGAATTTAATGGGGTCACATTGGGTAATAAACTAATATAGTTTTCAAGGGTACGAGTCTATAATACATCATCTGTATACTGTTTGTGTGTTCACCACTCCAAGTTAAGTCTCCTCACTTCATCATTAATCTCCCCTTGCCCTATCTTACCTCCCCCCACAGCCCTTTCCCACAATAATCACCCCAATGTTGTCTAGGAGGGTTTTTTTATTGATCCCTTCACCTTTTTCATCCAGCCCCCCAAACATTCCCCTGTGACAGCTGTCAGTTACATCTCTGTATCTGTGAATCTGTTTCTATTTTGATTGTTAGTTTATTTTGTTTGTTAAATTCCACATATAAGAGAAATCATATGGTACTTGTCTCTCTCACTGGCTTATTTCACTTATCATAATACTCTCCAGGTCCATTATATAGGAGAACTTTTAAAAGGCTGCACATTCTCATACCACCAATGAACTCTTGCAAAGCCTCGTTCAGAATCTGATCTATAAATGCACTTCCTGAGTTACCTGCATAATGAGAGTGCCATTCAATGCACGTTCTGGGCTCCGGTGATTCTTCCTTGTCCTTCATGCACGATGCATCTCTGTGGACACAGAGAGCAAGATAACACATGCACCGTCACTGGGGCTCCAACTGTTTCCATGTGGACAACTCTGTCCCTGCTGCGGAAATCTGACTCACCTCAGTCTTTCAGAAAAATATTACCTTTCAAATGGTTGGGATTTTCAAAATTATTATGAACGTCCTCTCACCTAAGAACTTCCAATTTGATTGTGAACAGAGACCCAAAATATTAATTGTCAGCAGAAGTTGTCCTAATAGCAAACAAACGTTCAATCAACATTTTGAAAGGAGAGAAAATTATGTATGAGTTATTTAGATAAATACTGTGCAGTTTGTGTTTTATCACAATGATAGTGAAATAGCCTTTAAAACATCACAATTTCTAATGTGTTATACTGGCCAGTCTTCATTCAGCATCATTGGTCTTTCAATTACCTGCTGGAATAGAGAATAATTTCATATACATACTTTAGGTTTTGAGTCCATCATTTCAATTCCTGAAAATTTAGTCAGTTGAATACTAATACAAACACTCTCTGAGGTAAGGACAAAGGTCTGCAAACACTTTATCTACGTTGGAACTACAACTCAGATGATTGGGTCATTCAGTTGGTGCATCATCAAGGGTGATTCTTCTCTAATTAAATTCACTGGGACCTTAATCATAATACTGAGTGAAGATTCTGCATCTCCAGAGATACCACCAGAATAATCACCAGGCAGAACAGGACTTAAAGAACCAAGCCCTCTGGGGGAAATCAAAAGAATCACTTGAGGTCCAATGACCAAAAGGGGAAAGTCCAGTCTGGGCAGGAACAAAATATGCAAAAACTCCTTTGTTTCAATCATGTGCTTTAGCTCATTGTCTCTCATCCCTGGACACAACTGATAAACACTGAAAATTCCTGCTCTTCAGTCTTCCTTGAACACACACCCTAAGTGGCTCCCTGCTCTCCGAGTCACTTTACATCACATAACTTTTTAAAGCATTTTTCACCTTGAATGTATCTTAATTTCTTTTTATGTTTACTTATTTATTGCCTATCTTGCTTCACTACAAAGTGTTGTGCGGTACATGTCATGATGATGATATATACCATTGTGTTTAAGACTGTAACTTCTAAAGCCAAAATACATGGGCTCATGTCCCACTCAGGTATTTTCTAGATCTGTGGCCTACAGAAAACTATTTAAACTTTCCAAGCATCAGTTAATTCTTCTGGAAAGCAAGTATAACATGATCTATTTCATCGGGCTTTTATGGGCATTCAACGATAACTTGTCTTTGTAGCACCAGCCAAATGGTAGTAAATAACAATAGCTTTTACTACCATTACTAATTATTGTATTTGTCATAAAAAGTTCATTAAATATTTGAGTCTTGCTTAACCTGATTTTAACTTTGGAGACATTTATACTTTTCAGGTGAACTGTTTAAAGAATGCCTCTGATCTACCTTGCATTAATTTAAGAGGTTTACTCTGAATCCTAAATGTTTGTCATGACTTCCTAATATAATAGCTACATAGAGTAAATCATAGAGTTTTATAAAAGTCAGACAGAAATGGGGTACTGATGAAAAAGTGAGGGAAGCAACAAACACAGTGACATTTATTAAGTAGCCTCTGATGACAGGCACTGTCCTGGATACTTTGCATACAGTGTCTCATCTAGTGCTTAAAAGAACACTATGGTCCGGCTGCTGTGGCTCAGTGGTTGAGCTTCGACCCATGCACCAAGAGGTTGCCAGTTTGATTCCCTGTCAGGACATATGCCTAGGTTGTGGGCTAAATCCCCAGTGGGGAGCATGCAGGAAGCAGCCAATCAATGTTCTCTCTCATTGATGTTTCTATTTCTCTCTCCTGCTTACTTCCTCCCTCTCTCAAATCAATAAAGAAAATAAAATTTTTTAAAAAAAGAACACTATGAAGTATCTAGTACCATTTCATTATACTCATAAACTCAGATTAAAACAAGATTTTGAAGGACATCTGAAATACTTTCAACAATAAATTAGAATAAAATAAACAAGATCTTGAGAGTTTGTGAAATGCATGCAATGTCACATGAACTAATGAGTAAAACTGAATACTAGTTGTGTGAGATCTATCACCAAAATTGTTCCACATCACCCAGAACTGTGGTGTTCACAGATGCTGAATAACCCTAAAAGACAGAAATGGCCCTGCCTGAAGTGCAAAGAGAAAGTTATCTGATGGGGTCTTGGTCAAATGAGGAGGTACCTTTTTCACCTCAGGAAATAGGGACCAAGGTGAGATCCACAGAGGTCGTCATCCAAACCCAATGAGGCTCTTGCTAGTTCAAGAAGAGACATAAGCCAAGATCTGCTCCTACTGGAAGTAGTAGGGTCAACACAAGTCAATACTTTTTTCCTTTTAAATACACTTTTATGACGACATGGAGGGACTTGGAAAATATTATGTTAAGTGAAATAAGTCCGTCAGAGAAAGACAAGTACCACATTATCTCACTTATTTATGGAATATAATTAACAAACTAAGCTGACGATCAAAATAGAGACAGAGACGTGGAAGTGGGGAACAGACGGACAAACCTCAGAGGGAAGGGGTGGGAGATGGGAAGAGATAAACCGAAGAACTTATATGTATACATGCACAACCAATGGACACAGACAAGAGTGTGGGGAAGGCAGGAGGGGATCAATGGGGGGAAAGGGGGAACAAGGGAAAAGTATATGTAATACTTTCAACAACAAATATGTAAAAATAAATAAATAAATAAATAAATAAATAAATAAATAAATACACTTTTATTAGGTTTACTATGTGCCAGGAACTTCATAAGCACTTAACTCTTTCAGTTGGCCCCCAAATTTTATGAGATAGGTACTATCATTACCATTTTAGAATATTTTTAGAAGGGGATAAAAAAATACTGCATTTTTGTTTTGCAGCTGCAAAGATAGTGAG